CAAGGAGCAATGGTCTCAAGTTACAGCAAGGGGAGTTTAGGTTAGATATTAGGAAAAACGTGCCCACTGGGAGGGTGCTAAAGCACTGGAACAGATTACCCAGAGAGGTTGTGGAGTCTCTATCCTTGGAGGTTTTTAAGACCTGGCTAGACAAAGCCTTGGTTGAAATGATCTAGTTGGGGTTGGTCCTGCTTTGAGTAGTGGGGTGGAGGTCCCTTCCAACCCTAATTTTCTATGATTCTGTGAATGTGGAGTCAGGAGATCTGGGTTTAATTCCTGGCTCTGCTACAGTCTCCTTGTGTGACCCTAGGCAAATCTTGTAACATAACCTTTGCAAAAGGGGCTTGGTCCTGTTGACTTTCAATGAGACTCAGGCTCCTGAGCAAGTCATTTCTAGAAATTAGATTTAAGCTGATAAATTGCTAAAGCACTTGTAAAAATTTCCCTCCACTGTCTTTGTGCTTCCATTTCCCACCTGTAATACTGCAGTGCTGATAGTTCTTGCCCATCTCTCTGTCTATCTAGTCTGTAACTTCTTTGGGAAAAGGATTGTCTTTTTACTATGTGCTTGTACAGCACCCAGCACACTGAGGGTCCAACTTTACCTGGGTATCACCTCACTACAAATAATACATAGTAAGCAACCAGATAGCTAAATTCTGGAGGAGCCTTTAAGCCCACCTCCCTGTGGCTGGAATACTAATGCAGCAATCATGAAAAGATCTTGCATGTTTTAAAATAAATGAGCCTCATTCTTAAGGATCAAACGTTCAGCATTGCTTTTTTATCCAAGGAAGTGTAACAGCACGTGCAGTTGTCGGGAGAGTGTGCTCCTGATGGGTAACTGAATAAGCAGAGGACTAATTAGAGGCTCCAACACGTGCACGGATCCCATTTATCTGGGCAGCTGTAGTAGTAGGGCATGTAATTGGGGATCTGTCTTGTTTGATGATCTGGCCATGAGGTTTTCCTTCTGACTGCTAAACCTTCTTGGAAACTGTTCTATAGTTTCTGCCCATGGAGTTCCCACAAATACTGCTGAAGTCACAAATGGCATCTGCTGGTTTGGCATGGCGTCATGGGGTGTGATATGGTCTGAGATAACCCTAGGGGCCCTTAAAATACCTTATGAGTTGTGTTGTGCAGGGGAAGAGACTGCCCCAGGACCTTCCATCTCTCTTCTTGCAACCTGAAAATACTGAGCCAGACTCTTGTTATGGCTGCTAGATAGCTGGCTGGATGCATGGCTGTGGCACCCTCTCCTACCCTCTTCAAAGGGTAATGTTGAGTGAGCATCCTACCTCCACAGCTACAGCCGTGTTCCGTTGCTTGCATGAGATGGGAGCCTGGGCCCCTCTATCTGAGAAGTAAGGAAGGAGGGCTTGGCCTCCTGTTCCTTGCTTGGCAGTGCTGGTAGCATGTATCACTTTGTCTCTAAACTGATGTGGAGCTTGAGACTTTGATTGAGGGCAGAGGCACAGGCATGACAGAGAGAAGCTGTCCTTTGGTCACACATTCCCCCTTGCCCTTGGGGACATGCAACAGCTGATCTGCTGGTGCACGATCTGCAGCAGGGATGAGGGTGGCTGACTGCTTTCTCTGAAAGCAATGGCCTGGGCCTGTTGGCAAAGGGCATTCTCACCATGAATGGGGCTTTTTGCTGAGCAGGGGTTCTTTGGCCTTGCACTAATTGTGCTACCACCTTATCTAGTTCTCACACTGCTCATGGGATGACCCTATTGTCTCCTCTTCCTCTTGCCATCCCTCCTGGAGAAGCCATCATTTTTTTTTTTGTTACACCTGACCTCTTGAATATGTTGCCTTACTGTGGGGGCATGTGTGGTTGTTTTTTTGGTTGGGCACCTATACAGGCTCAGCTGGCCATTGCTGCTAGCTTGGACTCTTGGTTTGGGGTGATTCTAGCAATTCAGGTAGATACTGAGCCTGTTTTCTAAATGAGACTCTTCTGTTTCAGGGCAGTTTTCCTTCAACCATTTTTACCAGGAAACCTGGTCTGGCACTTCAGTTTTCAGAGCGTGTTTGGTGCTGGTGACAGACACTGGCCTGACTGCCAGGAGACCAAAAACCTCTAGAACAGAGGTAGGCAAAATATGGTCTATGGGCTGAAACCAGCCCACCAAGTGATTCTGTCTAGCCTGTGGTGGGCACCTTGGCCCTCTCTGGCCAATGTGCAGGGGGCAGCCTGGGCGGTGGTGCATGTAGCTGGTCCTGCTGCCCCCGAGCATGGAGGTGCCACCTGGCGCAGAGCACAGCCTGCCCTGTTTCTGCACATGGCTCTCAGGCATAAGGAGAGCTGTAGCCTGCGGTGCTGAGTTGATGCGGTGGGGGTGGCACAGTGGCCGGGCACAGTTTCCTGACAGCCCCCACATCGGTGGCACGCCCTCACTCTGGCTGCCACTGCTAGTATTTCCACCACCAAACCCAGCCCTGCTGCCCGGGCACCCCAGCCTGTCTGCCCCACACCCACTGCCATAGGGATGTGTGGGGAGTGGGTTGTGGCTCTGGCCCTGGCTCAGGCCCAGGCCCTGGCCCTGTGCTGTCACTGCCCCACGATCCTGGCCTTGGCCCCATTCCCAGATACCACTCCCCACCTGCCTGCAGCCCCATCCCATCTCCTGCCTGCATGCACCCTGTCTGCAGGGGTCCTGGGGTGGTTTCCATGGAGACCCCACCTTCCCACACCATCTGGCACCTCTGGTGGTGGGTGTGGGGTGGACAGGGCTGGATAGGATCAATTGGCATCTCCCTGGCCCATCCCCTGCCACCCCTTGCTGCGCTGGGCAATGTAAACAGCTATGATGGGGGCAAGACCAGGTCAGCACCTCTCCTCTTTCCCCAGCCCTCAGCAGCTCACCAGAGCTCCTTAAGTGGCCCTCCAGCCCAAATAATTCCCCACCCCTTCTGCAGAATCACAGGGCCGCCAAAATCTGTGTGGGGCCACTACCAACCTATCCTATACCATACAGCTGTGAATATGCCTCAACACTCGACTCCTTGTCCTGTGCTATAACCACTGGGTTATGCTGCTTGATCAGACTGACCAAAGAGCTTGTCTGGTATGCCTGGAAGTGGGGTATTGGACTATATGTCCTACTGAGATGCTATGTAATAGCAGGAAGCACAGTACTGGACTAGATGACTCTGTAGTCAGTCAGATCAAGCGCAGGTCAAATTGTGTGTTTGCATTTTGTCCATCTTGCCTCAGGCACTTCCCAGACCAGGGTGTTTGTGGCCATCTTGAGATTTTTCTCCTCAGCAGGTTCACTCTTCATCTGACAGATATGCTCCATGTACAAGTAAAAGGCCTCCTCTCACAGCTACCTCTTCCCCTGAGAAACCCGATGGCCCTCGCAAGTCTTTGTTTCTTTAAAATAATCTGAAGCCGGAATCTGAAAACCTAGTGAATTGGAAGAAAGGAAGAAGGAAAAAGAAACTTGATTTTTTCTTTCTCCAGACAGGAATGTCGATAGGTTTGAATCATTGGCCCACTGTAATTAAAAAACACATAACTAGTCGTTTTTAAATGCAGTTGTTTTACTTAATTGATTTTGCCGCAAGGACCAAATGGAATAAAATAAATAAATAAAAGGTGGCTTCCTACTGAATCACTGAAGGCAGCAGAGGCTCCATTTCAATATAATTGCTGCAAATGCTCCAGTTTGTTTCTAGTAATGGTTGTGTAGAAGAGGTGGTGGGGGAAGGGGAAGGGGTCATGAAAGAAAAGAGTGGGGAGTGCTTTTCTCAGCAGCTGCGTCAAGGAACAGGCTGCTCCTGGGATAGTGTTCTTTTCCCTCTTGCCATCAGCATAAAGAACACCCGTTTAACACTTTGCATGAAGGCTCCATTTGGAAGGGCTTTATTCATATTTAATTACTAGCTCGCTGCAGCTCCCCTCTTTAATTACCTTTTAAAAAGCAGGTTATAAAAATGCACTGGCACTCTTTTTCTTTTGCATAAATTACATGCTCTTCAACTGTTCGTGTTAGCGAGAGCTGAGCATGCTGGAGGGGAGGGCTGGGCAAATGCTCCTTTCCCAGCTCTGCTTGTGCCTTTAACTCCTGAACCAAGACAGTACCTTGTTGCCCACTTGGGTTTCCCACCACCCTGCCCCCACCCCCACAAAACTTATTCCTAACTTGCATCCCATTCTGCTGTCCTAGGCCTCAGACACAGTGCTGCTAATCCTCCCCTGCTCCCTCCCCCCATTCTGTCTCTCAAAATGCTCTGCCATCCCCAGTTGTGGGCCTTTCCTGAGTTGAAACTGTCAGTCATCTTAATTTTGTGAGTGAGCAAAAGCCCTCCAAGGAATCGTCCATTACATTAAAAAGATTTTGAAACGCAGGTCTATAGAGATGCAAACAGTAGTTCAATAACCCACTGGCTGATCTAGCCCTCAGCCACAAATTCATAACGCATGCTGACATAGCCAGCTTTAACCATGTTAGCTGGATGATATTGCTCCTTTAATGTAAGCACCAGAGGAATATGTGCTGTCAAGTATTCAGGATGTGATGATATGATGTGTAATATTAAATAAAAATATAGAATTATATGTAAAGAGAAAGAAAATCAGCTTCTGTGCCCAATGTAACTCATGCCCCTGTGCTTGGTACAGCAGAAGCTCTGGCAGTGGGATCGCTAGTGCTGAAAGCCATTACTACTACCTTTTGGCTGTTCTGTCTTGTGTGAAATGGACAGACACCTGCCAGTTCAAGTCCTAGTGGCACAGATGTCCATCTCATAATTGTCCCCATCCCTGGCCTTGGCAGTCTCCTCAAAGAGGTCAAGGACTAAATAGGCTTTAGTGGAGTCCCCCCAGGTCAGGGGTGAGGCCCAGGGGTGCACTGGAAGGGAGAAGCTTGCACAATCTTTGCCCCTGCTGTTCCTGTTCTCTGGACAGAGGGCTTCAGTCTCTGGGAGGTTTCCTGGTGATACTGTCTTAGTGAATCTTGCAACTTCTTTTTCTTTTCTCCTGGCAGATTAAAGAGCTGTTTGTGAGTTTTGAGGACACTCCATTGGGAGCAGCATCCCTGGCCCAGGTCCATAAGGCAGTGCTGCAGGATGGGAGGACAGTAGCAGTGAAAGTCCAGCACCCAAAGGTTCAGGCTCAAAGCTCCAAGGATATTTTGCTGATGGAGGTAAAACAAGGCAGTGCACCTTTGACTTATAGAGCACTTCCCATGCAAAGTAGGTGGGCCAAATTTGCTTGTGGTATTTGCAGGCATAACAACACTGATACCCAGGTGGGTCTGGGATACTGACTTGGGTTCGTTCTCCTGAAATGCTCTACAGAGATAAATGTTGTGGTTAGAGGTTTGCAAAAATAAAACAAAAATCAATGAGGGCTGCAGCAAAGCAGAGATTGCTTGGATGGAGAGATTGGACCCTAGTGCTGGATGAGCAGAGAGGAGGGAAAGAAGGAAGGTGGAGGGAGAAAGTCTAGTGCCCTTAAATAATAGGGGGCAGAACTTACAGACCAATGGTAACCAGTTATGTGCTAACAGTTAGTAGGGGCTGGGCATTACCACAGCTCATGTGGTCTGTGACAACTGCTCTTGTGCACTCAACTACTTACCTGTAAAGACTTAATTGAGGCACAGCTTACCTCTGGACAAAACAGGGCTAAATTTAGCTTTTATTTACCTCAGAGTATTTAGGGTGCAGGAAAGCTACAATAGCGACATGATAAAACGAAGCTCCCAGTTAATTGAGGGCAAATGGGGTAATTGTGGATTCAGGGAAATTAGGGCTCCATAGAGCTGCCAAGACTCCACTTGAAATCACAACTCTTAGTTTAGGAACATGTCGTAAAGGGTTTCAGAAACCAGGGGCCAAATCCTGAAGTCTTTATGCTGGTCAAACTCTGGTTAACTTTGGGACTCCAAGAGGATACATAGTGATTGTATTCTGATACCTGTGGGGAGTGATGGACTTATCTGAGTGGGGCTGAAGAGGTTGTGTTTTCCAGTGTGCCTGTGGCCTCCTGCGTAGGCAAGAGCCTAAAGGAGCAAGGACCTGGGAGGCTGAGAAGCAGAGAGTTGCTGTAGCTAAAGTGCAAGGAGAAGGTTAGTGCCCCTTGTGGGATCAGATCAGCTTGGCCTGCAGGTTTCCTTACAATCAGGGCTGTAAAAATTACATGGAAAACTTACCCCCTATTGTCTAATTGTACCATCTCTCTGTTTGCACTGGTCTTTGTATGCAGTGAGCTGCACAAAGGTTACTAGGCGAGTCATGGTATTTTTCACTTAAGCTGAGGACCACATAACAGAGACTGAATAGACTCAAGGAAGGTGGAAGAACAAGGAAGATGAAGAAGTAGGAACTAGGACAAGAAGAGAATCATCTATGAAGGAGCCAGGGCCCAGAGACCTAAGGCATTTTCTCTCTTTTCACGTAGTGTTATTGGCAGAGTCTAGTGCAGGGGCGGGCAGTTATTTTGGGCAGAGGGCCGCTTACTGAGTTTTGGCAAGCCATCGAGGGCCTCATGACAGGCAGCCCAGGGCAGATGCATATTAATTTTAAAAATTTTTTAAGGGCCCCACAAGCCAGATAGAATGGCCTGGCGGACCGCGTCTGGCCCCCGGGCCGCGTTTTGCCGAACCCCTGGTCTAGTGTGTAGCTGTAAATCTCTGGCTTGGATTTCTATTTGCTTGTTATTCTTTTAAGAGATATTTAAGCAAGTAATTTTACAATGATTCTTTCTTCTCCATTTTTAGATAAATTCTCTTGGGAAGCTTGAAGCTAAAACAATCTATCTTCTTGCTGTGTATTATTTTTCCTTCCTTTTCCTAGGCTCTGGTTTGTTGTAGTAGGGATACTAGCAAACATCTGTTACGTACATGCTGTAATGTTGTAGTAGGGTTGCTCATGAATGCTGTGTCCTGCCTTAGTTTTGAAGGGTTTCTTGTGGGTGCTGGGTTTGCACATATTGACTTATTATTGTAGGGTCACTTGTGCATGCTGTTTTTTTGGGGATTCTTTTTAGATTTACATGTCTGGCCCTTTAAGAATTATGCAGACTTTGCAAGTAGGTAAGAGATTACATTTAAATATTGATTGACACAGTCTTTTATACTTGGGAAAAATCTGAATGAGAAAAGCTACATGGAAAATTCCCAACTTCACTGCATTTATTTGTAGGTTCCATGGTATCAGAGCGGAGACTCTAAAAATCAGGACTCTACCCAATAAATCTGCAGAGAGAATACACTGCTTGCCATACATCCATCCCTATTTCAGGACAATACTCTAAACGGGTTCCAAAAAGGGACAAATCAAATTGCTATTCAGTATGTCCCTGCTAATGTTTTAGTCATTAAATAAACTCAAAGCATTATTTAGAAAAGTAGAAAGCAATGTATCAATGTCCTGATAACAACCCCCAATGCAATAATCCTGCAGTCCTGGGAAGTTTGTGCATATGGTCATGAAGATCGCTGGTTCCATTTCATTTGAGTGACATAAATTTGAAAGGATTTATGCCTCCAGACATAACAGGAGAAAATCATTCAATAGTAGCTGGAACCTGGTGATTACATTTTTAAAGGGATGCTGGGCTTAGGATTGACATTTAAATAAGAGAAATTGAGATGGGGGTGGGGAATAAATGTTTTCACACAGTTGAGAAGGAGCAGTAGCAGTTTATGACTTTATTTTTGTATTACACGATACCTGTGTTTCTATGTGTGCTTCAAACATTCCCACTCATGTCCAGGAAGTCCTGACTCAACAGTGCTGAGCCACGAAGTGAAATGCTCTAGAAACTTACACAGATGAGCCTGTTTTCCTATTCCAGTTCTTTGTGGAGGGGAAAGTGAATTCAATTCAATTCCTCTACTCTCCACTATTTTATGATTCTTATGGAGCTTTAGGGAATGATTATTTTAAAGACGTCATCCAGATCCTTAGCTCAGGTAAATTGGGTCTTGGCCATTGAAGTCAGTGAAGCTCTGGTGATTTACACTGGCTGAGGATATGGCTGTCTGCTTGAGTTTTAGGGTGTCATTGTCCCTTAACGGAATGTAAATAAGAGTTCTTTGCTGAATTATGTCACCAAATGGAATTTCAGGGCCACGCTGGATTGTCTCTAACATAGGCTGTCCATCACATGTCTTTTTGGATTCCCTTTTTGTGGTCTCATTTTTTATTAAACATTCCTGTAAACAAAAGTTCCTGTATACTATTAGACTGGGGGTTTCAAGGTCACTTAGGGAATTTGATGCCCAGCTGCTAGTCATTTTAAGGGCACCTGGGTAGCCAGCTTCCTTAGTTGGCATTGCAGTGTTCAGCTCAAAGCTGAAAAAAAGTGCAAACCTTAGGATCGCTGAGGTGGCTCTGACTGTGATCTTGGGGCTGCTGGTTACCAAACCCTTGTGGGTTTTTTTGGTTTTTTAAAAGAGCTATAGATTAGTACCTGTAGCTAAAACTGGCCTTCATTTCTGAACTGTCCAGCAGCATTTTCCTGTGTCAGCAAAGTTCTTGCTTAGCAGTGTAAGGAGTAATATAAAGGTGACAGGCCTTATTTTGGAGCTTTCTGTTCGACATTAACTGAAGCCCATTAAAATGAAACTGAACAGTGACTCATCAAACTGCAAGAATTAGAGATTCAGAAATGACCTTATGGGTCACTTAGCCTGTCCACTTCAGAAGCCAGTGCAATTACACTACACAGCCTTTCCTTCAGGGCCTTGCTTTGCTGAGTTTCAAGTGCTCCAGGTGATGGGACTCCCACCATTTCCCTTCAGTGCAGTTCTGCTCCAATATCACAGACCACATACTGGTCAGAGCTAATGGGGATGTAGCAGGCAAGACCTTGTATTCCAGAAATAAACCACTGCATCTCTAGTTTGCAGCCTGATAATGCATTAGCTTTAAGGGTATTTTTAGAATTATGGGACTTGAGCTGGTCCCTTCAAAATAAGATCTTCCTGAGGATGACAAGGGCAGATTGGGGGTCAGTAGTGAATGCACTCAGGGTTGGTGTGTGAGGAGATGCCATTTAAGTTCTGGGATTCACTCTCTGACTTGTACTGCATACAGTTCTGGTCACCCCATCTCAGAAAAGATGCATTAAAACTAGAAAAGGGATGGAGAAAGGAAGCAAAGATGATAAGGGTATAAAATGGCTGAAAAGATAAAGACTCCATAGCTCAGACAAGAGGTGGCTGAGGGTATGTGAGATAGAGGTCTATGCAATTGTGAGTGATATGGAAGAAGTGAAGGGGGGAGCTGTTATTTGCTGTCTCAATGCAGGTGGTAAATTTTAAAATTAAAAAAAGGAAGTACTTTTTATACAATAAATAATTAAACCGTGGAACTCATTGCCATAGGATATCGTAGAGACCAGTAGCATAACTGGATTCCAAAAGGGAATAGATGAATTTATTGACCTTAGTTCTACCAGGTGTTATTGAATATTACTGTCAGGCATGGTACCTCAACCTCAGGACATCTCTAAGCCCATGACTGCTTGTGACTAGAAGGATATAATAGGATAGATTACTCTACATGTGTTTCTTATACTCTTCCTCTAAAACATCTGTTATAGTACTGTCAGAACCAAGATACTGGGTCTGCTGGGCCTGGCCAGTATGGCTCTTCTGTTCTTGTACTTAGCCTCAGGTAGGAGGAAGGGGCTGTTAATTGGAGAAGAAATGGGCTGGGTCAACTTGTGAGGACTGGAAATTGCTGCATAGCATTATAGCCACACCTGAAGAGTGGTTCAGGAGCTATGATGCAGCTGATCAACTCTTTCCTTGACTTTAGGTTCTCCTCCTGATTGTGAAGCAGATTTTCCCAGACTTCGAGTTCATGTGGCTGGTGGAAGAAGCTAAGAAGAATTTGCCTCTAGAGCTAGATTTCCTCAATGAAGGCAGGAATGGCAATGCCGAACAGGTGGCTCACATGCTCAAACATTTTGACTTCCTGAAGGTAGGAAGCTGCAGGCATGTCCGTGTGTGTGTGTGTGTATGTATGTATGGGTAGGAGCGAGCAATGGCACAGAAGCTTGATGCGAGGATGATGATCTGCAGAAAAATATCTCATGTAGTAAAGTGAATATAATACCAATGGTGGTGCTGAATCAGTAGCCCTGGAAGCAAAAACCCTCTTTTTTTTCCCCTGAGATCAGGGACAGTCTAGGCCAGCGTGCTCAACCTCCAGCCCGTAGGCCAAATATGGCCTGTGGGGCTCCCCAAGGGTCAGGAAATGTGGTGGTGGTGGGGGGTAGTGTTAGTTAATACTGCCATAACTTCCTGCTGCCAAAATCTCAAGCCCCGCATGGTGAGTTGGAGCCAGACCATGACACTCTCCCAGCATGGTCAGGTTGCCACACCCCCTTCCCTCTGCTCAGCCAGGTTAGGGCCAGTCCATGCCCTTTTCCTCCCGTGGGGCACGCCCCCTTCTACCTGCATAGGGCTGGCTCTTTTCCTCCTGCCCTCCCGTGGGGTTGGGCTATGCCTTCTCCCCCTGTGGAGCTGGTTCAGGGCCAGTGCAACGGGCCAGTGCAAGCCCCTTTCCTCACATGTCTGGATCAAGTTTGGGCTGCCCTGCCCCACTCTGTGCAGCTGGATGGGGCCTTGCTGTACCTGCCCTGAGCACTGGATTGAGTCTACTGGCTGGATCTGGCCCACAGAGGTACTAGGCACTGCCTGTTTGGCCTCTTGGCCAAAAGGTTGAGCACCACTGGTCTAGGTCTATAAATTTGCCTCATCTGTGACCTGGAGAAAAGAGGTGGAATGAAAAAGAAGTTTAGTCTCCATGTGCCATCTAGTCCTAGGCCTCTGCTGAGACTGTCCAGGGACTGAGCTGAAACCCACCTCCCTGTCCACCCTGACTCGTTTCTATACTGTAAGCCACTCACCAGCTGGCAGAGAATAACAACTTTCTAGCAGGGTCACCCTCTGCTAGATCAGAACTAGTGGTGTGAGGGTACTTGGCTTGCTATCCTGTTACACAGTTAGCAGAGTCAGAGAGAGGGATTCCATCAGGTCCTTGCATTGCCATGAGCTGTGTGCATTAGCCATTAGCTGCTGAGTGGCCAGGTGGCTTCTTTTCTGGGTTTCCTCAGAAGCAAGAGGAAGAAATGGAGATAAAGCAGAAGAGCTGGACTGAAGCTAATGAAGTCAACCATATTCGGTGAGGGAGCTCATACATATCATGGTAGGAGGAAGGGCATTTTCTCTGAAACCCCCGCATACAAATACCTTCTTCACCTGATACACAGACATGCAAAACTTGTATGTGTGAGCATCCAATGGCAAACGCACAGCTTTCCTGTGCACCCAGCCGGGTCACCTTACATACAGATAGACAGACATCACATACTTCTCCCCCAACACTGACATGCTTACCCATATACACCCATAGTTCTCTCCAACACATCACTATATAGGCACTCCAGACACATGCATGGGGTTCTTCCAGTGAAATACTCCCAGATGTGAACTAGTTTCCTATGGACCCACTAAACCATGCACACAGATGTGCGTACCCCTCCCATCACAAACACACTAAGCTGCATGTAATCAGTGACACGCAAATGCATTTACATACACGCCAGTGCTACAGACAAGTGCACTTGCACTTGGTTACAGACATGCATAAGGATGCGCACATCGGCATGACACTTTCACCTCCTATTTGTACAAAAATCCTAAGGTGAAAATAATGGATGTCTGAGGCTGTATGATTTTTCATCAGATTTCATAAATCTTGTCTCCTTTCTGCCTCCTCTTGGCCAGTGTTATGGTCACTTATCTTTCAGCTCTGGTCATGGGATAGTCCTTTGGAACTCAATGGCACCATGGATCCGCCCTTCCGTAAATACAAACAGTTATGACCCGCCTGACTATCAGGGCAGCAGGAGGCCAAAGGCTGATGAATCTGCTAGTGGTTGCTTATCAAAAGGGATGCACCTTGGAGAGCTGTGTCCGTTGCTGCTGTAACCAGGATACTGTGAAGTAAATCCCCATGGAGACAGCCAATCACGTCCTTGCTAGGTTAAAGAGCCGTCATGATATCGATATGTGTAACAATAACAAATGGCTTTGAGATGGCTAAATAATGGATCCTCCTGTCTGACCTGCCAATTCTGAGACGTGTTCATCACCCCAAAGGCAACAGAAGAATTGGGCTTCTATATCATTAATTTTCCTAAACACGCAGCAAAGCTGGGAAGTGGATTTTGTGCTGTGAACCCAGTTGAGCTTTTAAAACCAGAGATAAATTGTTTTCATGCACTGGCATTACAGCCAAACATCTGTGAGTAATTAAAAATTCGCCAAAGAATTTGACTCTTGGCGAGGGAGTTGTCTCTGAGTGCTTGTACAGGGCTTAATAAGCCCTATAACCTGCCCCTGTAAATCCTGAGATGGGGATGAATGTCAGGGCCAGGTTGAAGTGATCTAAGGCTACTGGGATCAGTGGGTTTAGGAGCTGATGTGCAGAGGCTGGGGAGAACATTGTGGGGTTTGTTAGTTTTGAAGTCTGTGTGGAGGGGCTCTGGGTCTTTTAATCTCCTGCCAAGTTTCAAAATAATAAAAATCCAGATGGACTCAGGGATGGGGAGTGGATTGAAAGTAAATGCACTTGCCTTTCCTAGTGGACTATACAGGTAGCATGAAACATATAGGGAGTGGTTGTACAGTAGGATGCAGGGGCATTAGAATTGCACTGGGCAGAGGCCCTGTCCTAGGATAGCAGGCACATTACAGAACCAGATCAAGGGACTTCGCAAGAATGTTGGGCCTAGGGTTAGAATAACAGGAAGCTGTGGGTCATGATAGAGAGGCATCTGTTGCTGTGAGGGAGCTGAGAACTGCATTTGCAGTGGGTTCCTGGTGAGGGCTGAAGTACTTCTACTGCACGTTGCCCCTCAGGAACTGAAGTTACAAAACAAGTGCAGCCTTCTTAGGAACTGTGCTGAGCCAGTTCCTTGACCACAGTCATACGAGTGGCTAGGAATTCTTTCCTCTCCCAGGCTCTGAAATCAGGGCCCTTGCTTTGCAATAGGGGAGTTGGTGAGTCCGCTGCAAACGATACAGCAAACACCCTGGGACAGCTAAGGAGGCTACTGCTTATCTTTGCTACCAAGGGGTTCTGTAATGCATGCAAACTTCTTCCCAAAAGGATCACTAGCAGATCTAGTACCTGTGGGAATTTCAGCCTGCAAATAATTTGGCAGAAGCACTAGCTGGTAGTTTTTTGAAAGGAAGGATACACTAGTTTAAGACTCCTTATTTACTGAGTCACTGACTCACCGTATAAAACTGAGGCCAGTTACTCAGCTTCCTTGCATCTCACTCAGACTGATTTGCCGCAGAATGAACAGAAAGCGCGTTGGTATTTTACACTTGTAAGAGTGTCACATTTGTAACAAGATACTTAAGGGTCTCCCAGGGTTTCTGTGACAAACCCCTTATTTGTGATGCTTGATTTTACTCCCTGTTCAGTTGCTGATGGCTGTGTGAGAGGCTTGTCAGCCTGGTTACATTTGTGTTCCAGAGAGCACTGCTGAGATACAAATTATGATGTGATTATTTATCATGGCCATAACGCAGACTTGCACAGCTCTGCACAACCAAAAAGAGGCTTGGTTCCTGCTCGAGTTAACTGACCAGGTGACTTAGTGAAGTGCGGTAGGTAATATGACCAGCTTTTGAGAGGGTCTGAGAATTTAACAATGTCCATTGACATCAGTGGATGTCAGCACCTTGCAGCTTTGGATGTTAAATGTGGACTTGACAGATGCTGCTAAGAGCACTCTGCTACAGTATGTCCTAAGGTGCCTGGAACTGTATCTCTATGCATGGCCTCTGCCCAGGTTATCACTGTCCCATGTGGGGAATGACTGCCTTCAGTACTTTTCACCAGTGATAAAAGTAGCTAAAGCAGCTAAGGAAAGAGGCAGCCATGTGGGTGGATTTGGTGGCCTCCCTTGTTTTGAGCAGGAAGAAAATACAGGCTCCTTTTTACCTCTGCTGGGAAATTCCTTCGAATCTCTTTTTCTGCATCAGGGGTGTCAAGGATATAATCTGTGAGCTGGATATGGCCCATGAAGCCCTATCATCCAACCTGAAGTGCTGCCCCTGGAGTTGACCCACATGCTACACATGGCATGTGCCAGACCAGCCCCATGCACAGGGTTCAGGACATGTACCACACGTGGCACTAATTCCAGCTGGCTCAGGGCACGCACCATATGCAGTGCCCACCACACCTGGTATGGGACACATGCGGTATATGGTGCCTGCCCCAGCTGGTTCAGGACCTGTACTGCATGTGGTATCCCCCTGGCCATTCCAGGGCAAGCTTTGTGTGCATTTTAAGTCCTGGGCTGGTTGCAATGGGCACTATGTAAGTCCCAGACTAGCCTCACGTGGGTTTGTGTGCAGTACAGTCCCAGACTGGCCAGAGTGAGCACTACATGTGCTGGATCCAGCCCACAGGGCCAGCAATACACTGTTCATCTGGCCCATGGACTGGTCCTGTGGCACTCATTTGGCCCATGGCACCAGATAAGTTTGACACTCCTGTCTTGCATGGTGCATGCCACCCCTGCTCCCTGCCATCATCCATTGGTTTGGCCTAACATTCCTTTTTGTCCTATGACAGGTCCCCAGGATCTTCTGGGAGTTGTCAACAAGGCGTGTCCTCTTCATGGAATTCATGGAAGGTGGGCAGGTGAATGATAGGGCCTACATGGAGAGGAATGGCATTGATGTTAATGAGGTAACATCTTCCTACCCATCTCTGAAGTTGGGCACTGAGGGTGTTGTAGAGAGATGGGAATGGTGATGATAATAGACATTGTGGCACTAAGGTTGCTAGTTCATGAAAAGCCAAAAATGATGCGTCTCTCTCTCTCTCTCTCACACACACTCACACTCACACACAGAGAGAGAGAGAACATCTGCAGTGATGCCTCTAAAAGAGAAAGACAACAGATGGAAGGAGGGGTCAGGAAGGTTCTCTCCAGCTCACATACCCTGCAGGATGTTGAGGTGCATGGATTGAACAAAGGGAGTTCACATCTTCTCCAGTACCTGGGGTGGTCTGCTGTAGGAAGCAGGGCTGATCATAATGCTCAGATGCTAAATGTACCCCTAGTTTTTTCCATGATTGCAGTTCCTTTTATTCTGGAAACAGTGTCAGCTCTGGACATTTTGTAGACGCCTCTCTCTTTCCTTTGTGTTTTGTCAGGATTTTAGCTGTGTGCTTTAGCAAAGTGTCACTTAGATCTAAAATCCCAACATTAATGGGAGTTTCACTTCCATCCCTAACAAGATTTTAGAGTCCCTGTGTAGCAATTGGCACTATCTTTGAAAGAGAAATAAAACAGAGATTATAACTGACTCTGGTTATTAATTAATTTGAAAAAGTCATAATGTCAACCTCAGTTTGCTGACCCACATTCCAGCTACGGAGCTTATATTCTGCTTTCCTTAAGCTCCTGCCCTGTCCTTCTATGTAGTTGCTATTGGGTATTGTTTTCCTTTGTTTTCTTTCCTAAATTGGTATGTAATGTTTCTGTACTCGGTCAGACAGCAGCCATATTTCATCCCAGAGGTGGCTGCATTTCAGTGGTGGTTGAGTAATTCCTGTGTGAGGTATAAAGTTGGTCATCAGCAATCCCTCAGTTCAAGGATGATCCCTACCAGGGCTCATTGATGGGCCTGGAGGTTGCTTAAGAGTCCAGTCCTTGAGCCCCAGATCCATCTGCAAAGTTGCAGGTGTTTCCACAGGGAAGAGTAAGCCATCCAGGAGGGTAAGCAGGAGGGCCCAAGGCCCTACCAGTGAGCCCTAGGGAAGGTAGTCCCATCAGTAGCCGGACTACCAGTGGCACAATGCAGATGGGCACACGCTGCACCCTGAGGGTCCCCTTGGAGTCTGAGGCCTCCACCTCTGGCACCTCAGAGGTCTCTACCCAGATGAAACCCATGGTTCTGGGCTCCATGCAGACAGAGCCTCTGGCTCTTGGCTGCAAGGGCTGCCTGGCATGTTTCCAGGCACATGCGACCGGGAGCATGGCCACCTCCCCTTGTGAGGTTTGCTCTATGAGCACTCCGGAGCACTCTGGAGTCTCTAGAGCACCAGATAGAGGAGCTCCAGGCCGCAGGCCAGAGATTGCATGCCATCAGGGATGACAAGTGGGAGACAGACTCCTACTGCCAGGGCCTTCACCCCCTGGAGGCCGAGGGTAGACCAAAGTCACCTTCCAGGATAAGGGAGGACTTGGGGATCTCCCATACTGTTCAGCCAGGGGGTTGGACCAAGGTGGTCAACAGCCACAAGGCCCGCTGTACCAAGGTCCCCTCCCCTCTGGAGCTTTGCAACAGGTATGAACCTCTTGCAGCCCCAGCAGAGCTGCCAGCTCCTGCAGACAATGCAGGCTCACCCACAGCTACTGTCCTTGCTCTCCCTAAGGCCACTTGTAGAGTGGTCATCGTGGGAGACTCCCTCCTGAGGGGTACTGAGGGCGTGATCTGCCACCTCAGCCCCTTAGTCCAGGAGGTCTGTTGCTTCCTGGGAGCCTGTATCTGGGATGTAGCTGAGGATCCCAAAGCTCATCCGGCCCACCAACCACTACCCTATGCTCCTTATCCATGTGGGCACGAATGACATGGCTCTGAGCAATCCCAGCCGGGTCATGAGATGCTACGGGGCTTTGGGAACGGGGCTTAAGGGGTTGGGGGCACAGGTGGTGTTTCTCTTCATCCCTCCTGGTTTTGGGCTATAGGCTGAGGAGGGAGAGGAGGATTGAGGTAGTTAACCAAAGACTGGCGCTGGTGTCATCATGAAGGCTTCAGCTTCCACAATTATAGTCTGCTCTTTGGTGATAGAGGCAATGGTCTGCTGAGAAGAGATGGCCTCCACCTCACTGTGCTGGGGAGGAGGCTGTTCTCAGCCAGACTGGCTGGCTTGCTCTCCCGGGCTTTAAACTAAGCTCGCCAGGGGATAGGGGGACTACTGCCACAGCAAGCCCACTGGGCAACTTTTGCAAATCCAGCAGGCTAAGGCACTTAAGGGAACCCACTTCTGCCCCAGCCCCAGAACAATATGTAGGGAAGGCAAGGGCCCCCAATGGGACACTTACATTCCTGTACACCAGTGCCAGAAGCTTGGGGAATAAACAGGAGGAACTGGTCCTCCTGCTAAACAAGAATGACTATAATCTCATAGGGATAATGGAGACCTGGTGGGGCTCCACCTATGACTGGGCCACAGGTATAGATGGCTATACCTTGTAAAGGAGAGATCGTGTGGACAAAAGGGGTGGGGGTGTAGCTCTCTATGTCAAGGAAAGCTACACGTCCTTGGAAGCTGACATTGGCACCCAGGGTGGACTACTGGAGACTCTCTGGGTTAAAATCCATGGTGAACGTGTCACAGGGGACACAATGGTGGGAGTCTACTGCACACCTCCTAGCCAGGATCAAGAGCTTGACCAGGAATTCGCCAGAGAACTGGCTGAGGCTGCACACTCCCAGTGCATGGTTGTCATGGGAGACTTCAACTACCCAGACATCTTGTGGGAAGAGTACTTGGCCAAATGTGAATGGCTGCAAAGCTTCCTCATGTGTGGATGAGCTCTATCTGACTCAAGAAGTCTGTGGACCAACAAGAGGCACAGTGGTGCTTGACCTGGTACTGGCAATGGGGGATGACTTAATCAGGGACCTAATGATCGAAGGGAAGTTGGGAGACGGTGACCATGAGCTGATCACCTTCACCATCCATTGTAAAGCTGGCAAGTCAGTCAGCAATGAAGAAGTCCTTGACTTCAGGAAAACTGACTTTGACAACCTCAGGAGCCTTGTTGGTGACCACGACCTGATGGGGAGGGGAGTTCAGGATGAGTGGTTGTTCCTCAAGGGAGCAATCCTGGAAGCACAAGCAATGTCTATCCTGTCTCGGAGGAAAGGCAGTAAAAGAGCACAGCAGCCCCCTTGGCTCTGCAGGGAACTAGTAGACTTCCTGTGTGTAAAAAGAAAGGCCTATCAAAGATGGAAGACTGGATCCACCTCAAAGGAGGAGTATTCTGCACTGACCTGTAGGGAGTGAACCAGGAAAGCCAAGGGTGCAACTGAACTCCAGCTGGCTACAAATGTCAAGGACAATAAAAAGTCCTTTTTTAGATATGTCAGGAGCCAGAGGAAAAGCAAGGGTAACATTGCATCCCTGGTAAAACATATGGGACAACTGACAACCGATGCCAAGGAAAAAGCCAACCTGATTAATAGGTTTTTTGCATCAGTTTTTCACTAGCCCCAAGGGACAGCCCTGCTCAATATGGTATGGGATGGCCAGGGTGAGGGAGAATTGTTACCCTTCATCAGTGTAGACCATGTGAAGGAGCACTTTGAGAGGCTGGACACTTTCAAGTCATCTGGCCCAGACAGTTTACACCCCAGGGTACTTAAGGAGCTGGCAGGCACTATAGCTCAGCCACTGGCACGGATCTTCGAGAACATATGGCGCTCAGGTGAAGTTCCCGAAGATTGGAAGAAGGCCAATGTGGTACCTATCTTCAAGAAAGGGAGTGTAACAGGGGGGCTTCTCGGGGCCAGTCTACCAATGTCCCGCCCACCTGTTTCTGGGCCAACGGCCCACCTTCTCACCTGCCATGCCTTGATGATAACCTAATTAAGCTGTTAATTAGGTGGGAGGCTGCCCATTTCTTGCCCCAATGCCAGGGGGCGCTATCTGCGACTCCGTTTCATAGTTTCTAGGGTCGGAAGGGACCTAGGCAGATCATCTAGTCCGACCCCCTGCCATGGCAGGGAAGAGAACATGGGGGACAAA